GGGGGGGCTGGGGGGACATGTGCACCGGGTGCCATTTTAGGAGGGGTGGCACTGGGCGTGTGGATGGAGAACTTCTCCCCTGGGGATGGGGAGCAACTCTGAGACTTTGCCCTGGGTGACAGAATATCTAGCTTCTCCATTGAGTACACCCCTTGTATAGGATGGGGGTCAATATTTACCCAAAGAAACTCCCAAAATTATCATCACTGTTTAACCCTTTCACTGATTTTTTTTTTCTTGCACATATGTTAAAATGCACATTTTAGGCCTGAAGATTACCTAAAGTGATATTAAAATCAAAATGTTTTTTTAAGCTGTTTCAAATGCTGATTAAAAGGAGAACTATGGGGTCAGGGCTTTTCCCCATAGTTCTCCTTAGGGTAACGGGAGGACACAAACTAGCTTCCTCCCGTCACCCTAAGCTCAGTATATAGGGAGCTGTAGCTCGCGGTATACTGAGACGCCGCAGCTGAAGCGGATCCCGACAATTATGCCGGGATCCACCCAGCTGCGTGAGTGACAGCTGGCTCTGCCTATCTAGAGGCAGAGCCAGCTGTACCCTCCCCCGTCCGTTCCGCCAGTCATCGCTGGAGGATCGGAGCGGGGAGGGGGGAATTCAGCCCCTCCCCTGTCACGGCAGAGAGCCGTGACAGGATGGAGAGGTGAGCGAACGCCGGTATGTGTTCGCTCACCTCCCGATCTACTGAGCCGACCTGTGACAGTCACATTGTCACAGGTCGGCTAGAACTATGAGGTGAGTGAAAAGCACTCACCTCATAGTTCTCCTTTAAATTAATTTACAATGGATGCTGCTCCTTTAGAAATGTCAGTTTCCTGCAGAATCAGCTGGCCCCTTGAGCACTGGCGCTGATATCCTGTTTTAGGGGGGCTCCTTTCCCTTGCATGGTCTTATGGAGCCACCCTTGTGTGTGCTAGTAAGCTGTCTGTCTCCATAAACACACAGGCACAGCAAGGCAAGATGCCCCCCTCCTCCCTGCTCTTCCTTCCTCCACCCTTCTCCAAGTAGATGCACAGTTGCTGGAGACCGCTCTGTCCCTTGTGATCTACACTGGACGTTCAGGGAAGACGAGCTGAGAGAACAATTTGCAACCATGATGACTGTAGGAGGTGCTTTGGCAAAAATGTTAAGAAATACTTTTCGGGTATTTGATTTCAGCTAAGGGCTCGTTCACACTACCGCATAGAAACACTCTGTGCATGCGTTAATGGGTTGCAGATCACTTCAAATAGCACCCCAACACAAGTGCCGAAAAGACATGTAAGCTGCAGAAAAATTTGGTTCGGATATTTTGTTATTTCGGGATTCGGATACAAAATTCTATTCGGTTCGGGTTTCGGACGAAATCCGAATTTTCGTTAGTTTCGGATGAGTTTACGAATATTCGCTGCGACTACCACAGAAAACAATCTACAGATATTAATACTGAAGCTGAACCTCCCAGACCCGAATGGCATTTGGGATCCAAATTGCATCATACTGTCACATACTTCTTGTAAAATCAAACTTTATTCCTCTTCCAGCAACAACATCCTGCCAGAGTCTTTTCTCCTACTAGGGCTGGGATTAGTCGTAGGAATAAAGTTTGTTTTTACAGGAAGTGTGTGGCGGTTGGTACAGCCGTTCCTTAGTATTATTTGGGAGTGGGATGCCTCCAGGGGTCCTGCATTGTACATGATGATATCAACGGCCACCCACATTACCAGGTAGTAGAAGACCACAGCGCCGGCTGCTGAGCGGCCAAGGCGTAAAGTAAGTATTTATCTCTATTACATCCCCCTAGACTAGGGGTGAGCAACCCGCGGCTCTTTCATCCCTCTGCTGCGGCTCCCTGTTCAGGGGCGGAACTACCACCAGGGCCTGAGGCAGTAGGGGGCCCAGTTAGGTCCGGTCCTGGGCACCCCCACTCTGGTGGAATATGCGGCAGTGCAGGGTCCCGGGGCCCTGCACTGGGCTTCTCAGCAAGGGGGCGGGTTTTGTGACTCACCTCCTCTCCCAGCCGCGTCCCTAGTAACAGGCGGCGGGAGAGGAGAAGTGTGTGTCACATGCCCAGCCCCCCTGCAGTGCACACCTCTGGCTGGGATGCTGACTGTGAGGCCTGGCAGGTGAGACCGAATGAGGAGCGGTGGGGGGGGGGAGAGGGGGGTTGTTACGGGTGTAACTGCACACTGTGTGCTGTTATTTCATTTCATTAGAAAAGTAGATTATAATGGGCAACATTACAGTGTAATCTATTTCTCTGCTTAAATAGGCCGCTGTTTTATCACAGTTTGTGACTAGGTTGGAATGTGTGACCGGTGACGTGGCCAAAAAACTGGACGGAATTGCATTGAAATGTGTGACCACGTCACCGATCACACATTGTAACGCAGTCACAAACTTTGATAGAACATAGCCATAAGGGGGGTACGGACGGTACCCATGTGAGGGGTCTAAGCAGCTTCGGGGGCCTCTGACAGCTCTACCAGGGGCGGCATGGCAGAGGTGACAGGGGAGGGGTGAAGGAGGCCGGGCCCCAGCAGCAGCTGGTTTGAGGAGTTGGGAGAAGGTACTAAGCCCAGAGTCCAGTACATTACTAAGCCCAGAGTCCATTGCGTTACTAAGCCCAGAGTCCAGTACATTACTAAGCCCAGAGTCCAGTACGTTACTAAGCCCAGAGTCCAGTACGTTACTAAGCCCAGAGTCCATTGCGTTACTAAGCCCAGAGTCCAGTGGGTTACTAAGCCCGGAGTCCAGTGGGTTACTAAGCCCAGAGTCCAGTATGTTACTAAGCCCAGAATCCAGTATGTTACTAAGCCCAGAATCCAGTACGTTACTAAGCCCAGAGTCCAGTGCGTTAGTAAGCCCAGAGTCCATTGCGTTACTCAGCCCAGAGTCCAGTACATTACTAAGCCCAGAGTCCATTGCGTTACTAAGCCCAGAGTCCATTGCGTTACTAAGCCCAGAGTCCAGTGGGTTACTAAGCCCAGAGTCCAGTGGGTTACTAAGCCCAGAGTCCAGTGGGTTACTAAGCCC